GTTTTGACGGTCCTAAAATTTGATTTTTTTTTAGACCAAAATTTTTATTTTTACCATTGTATTCAATAAGTTTGCAAGGTCAATAAATTATAAATCACTTACTTCTATCTTGCATTAAGCATACTACGAGTAGAATTACCAGTGCATAATACTTCACTTGATATTACTTTAGTCGTTCACTCTATAAAATACAAATAAGCCTTTATCTTCATAATTGATTCTTCGTTATAGGATTAGGAAAAAACAAAAATGCATGTAGAGATTATGCTCCATTTTTAGAATAACGAGATTTTAGTTTTTTTTTTTTTTTTTTTTTTATTACATAATAAAGACTTGTAAATTAAAGATGTATTATTAATTGTTTAATAATTTTTAATTGAAGAAATATTATATTTTTTTACATTTTATAATATCCATAAGAAGGAATTAAGGCAAACATATAAATCCATAGATTTATAGATTTATGTATAGTTATAGATAAGCAATAGACAAATTTAGCAGGTGAGATGCATCGACGTTGTTTATTTTGAGTAAGAAAGTCTAAATCAACAATCAACAATCAACAGGTGTATTAAAAATACTTTGCTAACATTAAATAAGTTTCTAGTGCCGTCAGCACTACACGTTATATTTATACTCTAAACTGTCTGAATTCACATAACGGGTGGTAATCTAATTAAATCTATAAGGGAATTTTGGAAGCTGGTGAATTTCTTGTACTTATAAATCTATTATGCTATCCAATAAACAGAAACGGAAATTTCCTTTTCATATAATTTAATTGATTTATTAATAATTTAAAGAATATTTCGATGTTATACTTAAAATATTGGAACTAGAAAATTTATAAATATGAAGTCAATTGTAAAGCTTCTTAGCTTACAAAATAACTTAAGATAAAAATAATGTAATACAGCATAAAAGTAGAATATACTTTTAAAAATTAACCAATTTTTCTGTGATAAAACTATTATTTTATTTTTGAATTAATAAATTATTTTACATTATAATATTCTAACATTTTTGTTTCTCTAGCAATTATTTACTTTACAAAATTAACACGAAGAAAGATTATTGAGTTTTGTACGGTGTATTTAGACTCAATGTTGTAAATAAATGTAATTGAAAATGGATAATTGAATTGACAAATTATTAGTAACTTTCGATTTATTTGATTTTTTAAAAAATAATTTTATTCTTTTAAATAAGTGTTTGTGCCTTTTTTATTACTATACTCTTATCATCTCTCAATATAATAATTAAAAATATTTCGAGTCTGTAAAGTTATATTTATTGAGTATAAATGCATTGTATCTGATAGTAAAAATTTAGACCAAATAGTCTTGACATATCACATGTTCAACATATAATTTCTAAGATCATTGCTATACTGTTATAAAATTTCTAATACAATATTGGAAATAATCAATAAAAGCTTTCATCGGCATATTAATAAGTGGGATTTCGATGATAGTGTTCAATAGAAAATTATGTGCCGATTTATAAATTATATATTTTTACTTTATATTATCTTAAAATAATAAAATAATTGGATAAATATTTATTGGATCCGTTATTAATGAATACGCGGTCAAATGTATAAAATGCCTTTAAAGGGAAAATTGAAAAAAATGTATCGCGTACGAGTTAAATGAATTTAATAAATCAATATCGCACTGATTTGCGTGTTAAATGTATTTTGTGTTGACGATAATGAAGTTTATTATTATACACTTTTATGCTTTCTTCTTGAATCATAATCAGCTCAATCAGTATGATTAATTTAAACGCTGACATGTAGCCAGCATAGTTCTTTCAATTGAAAAGACAAAAAGCAAAAATTAATACAGTTATTGCAAACTTGTCTTTTGTATACTATTTATTTCGACAATATTAAATGCATAACATGTTACCTTGAATTTTGTCCATGAGAAAATATTATCTTTGGCGTAATAGGCAATTTCATAAGATGCGTGCACGCATTCAAAATTAAGCATGCCTATAATTATTTATAGAAATATAATAATTGTAATTTAAAGTACCAGTGTTATGTCTCCTTGATGTTGGAGGCACAAGAGCGCTCATTTTGATCGATTTTACTTTTCACAATTTCATATGAATTACATATGAAATAACATATAAAGAAAAGTAAATAATGCTGATTTAGACGTGACGTTGATAAATATAAAAATAAACAAAATGATAATAAAATATAATATGTAAATCTGAAATGAAACAGTTGAGATACATAAATAATAAGAACACAATTTCAATGCAGAATGGGGTATATAATTATATATACACATAAAACTGTATTTCGTAATATTAATATAATAGTAATAATAATCCCAATAATGACGTACTACCCAAGTAATAAATACTATAGTTACAGAGTGAATGTGGGTGTTGTTTGTGAGTAAAATTAACCAATTTAGAGGGGTAGGGTATTAGGGTGCCTATGTACAAGACATTATTTGTACTATGCGACTGACAATTTTAGACCATCAGGCGCGTCCCATTTCTCTCCTTGTCTTTCTCCTTATTATTATTGTTTTTTAATCCAAAGCGCAGGGATTTTCATTTAGAAGGATAGAGATGCTTCTTCAAGGGTGAACGGAGAAAACCTGTCGCTTTATTCTCTCCTTTCGTATTTATTTATTTTTTTTTTTTTTTGTAGCTCGCTCTTTCTTTTTCACTTATTTAATTTCCTTCAATAATTATCTAATCTCGGTGATGTCTTTTTGACTTCGTTATAAATTATTTGCCTCTTCGAAAAAACAATATTTTACATTGTAATTCATGTATAATTATACATTTATAAGTTCACCCTTTTTATTAAATTCAAATAGAATTTTCTTTTGTTTTATTTAAAAAACAGCATTGAAAAAGTTCACTATACGCCTTGTTGGGTCTAGGAAACATGATAACAGTGACCCAGTATATATCGCGTGATTATTACACAATAATAATTAATCGATAACTAATTAGTTTTGCTAAAATATTCGCGCACCAGGGGCTTGTACGAGGCGTTAATATATAATTATTTATGTATGCATATGTACATATGTTTGTATGTGTATGCGTACGCGTGCGTGTGTATGGGATATGCGTATTTATGTATGCATAAATGTATTAATATATGCATATATTCATGCACATACGTGTCTGCATATGCATATTTAAATTGAGAAAAAAAAATGGAAAAATGAATAAATGAAAAAATCTGCACATTATTTTTTTACTTACGTGTACATGTGTATTCATTTATACAGCCATTTATTCACACGCGCGCACGCGCAAGTGCATACATACTTGCATATATATAAACATAAGCGCGCACACGCACGCACATGCATATACATATATAATAATGGGCAGGAGAGAATGAGGAAAATGCCACCTCTTACAATATCTTCTATAAAATTAAAAAACAACGTAATATCATTATATTACTTCATCGCTATTAATAATAAAAGCTTTGTACAAAAACTTGATTTACAATTAAAACATTTGGATACATAACCGTCTAGATTCTGATTTTTTTCTTATTTATCTTTCTTAATTATTATATTTAAAATTGAACTATCTAATGACAAAAAGACTGCAAATAAAATTGATTTATTTGCTCCTTTTCACTTCCTTTTCACCATAATTAACTTACTTGTTTTGTTCATTCGCGCTTGTTTATCCTTTAATCGCATAGTCCGCATGTTCACGCACATTCTACATATCATAATATTCAAGCATATATTCCTCTGACAACCATTATTTTCATTGTTAACTAGATTTTTTATTTTTCTTTATCCATTCACCCATCATTAATCGCTATTAATTAATATAATTAATAATAATAATAATTAATAATAATAAATTTCCTTCCTTATTACATTTTGACACTTGAAAGTGCTCGTTATTTATGCGTAATATTGCCTAAGAACACAAATTGTAGTTTTTCTTCCAATGTCAGCTGTTAGAAAAATGTGTAAAGGGAACTTGTGCTTTCGTCTTCTTCGTTAACTTTATTATTCTTATTTAAATTTATGAATATGTCTATATATATATATATATATATATATATATATATATATATATAAATATATTTAACTATTTTTCTAAATAATCGACACAACACGATTCCCTTATATTTACAGTATGTATCATGCAATGCGTTGTATATCTTTAATATAGGCGTCGCTCATTTCCTTTCCTTCATTTTCTAAAAAGTAAATATTTACTCGTTCGTGCCCACATTTTTATCGTCAATGACATTGTTCGAATTATGAACAGCATATTTAAAATTCATTTAAATAATGCTTATATCTCATCGAGATTATATCACAATACCTTAAAGCAGAATTTATTTTTATTTTAAACAATTAAAATAAGTATATTTAATATTTAAGAAGTACTTTTTTCTTTAATTACAAATAATCTAAGCCCATTGATGAAATTAAGTTTAGTTAATAGTGGGTTGAATATGATTACATATAACAAAAAATTATAAAAATGTAATTTTTATGCAATAATAACGAATAATAATAAGAATGGATTGTATGACACTGCAATAACTAATCGCATTAATCTGTTTAACTAATTTTATAAATTTTGTATAATATATAAATAATTGACCCTTACTGATTTCAAGTCTTGAACTTCGTAGAATTTGTATTTTGATTATAAAAATTAAATTATTGGTACATTAGTAGCTATGTTGGATCAGATATATTGCAACACAATGCCAAGAAGTTTGGAAAGATTTAATCAAACGAATCTACACAATAAAGCAACGTTTTCTTTTACATATATTTAAGAAGATAAATATTCACATTTTAAGATCTATTGATTTTCAACTATATTTTCTGATAACATGAAATACAAATCTGATGTTTACTTTGTAAGATGGTAATGATTTACGAGGAAACAAAGAATTGTTTTTAAGTTTTTCATAATATGAAATATCTGATTAAGTTAAAGAATGTTATAAAAATAATGCTTTGTGTAAGGCCATTTTTCATATTATTTGTATAAATTAAACTTATCCTCGTTTATTCATCAGAATGGAAAAAGTTAATAGTAACTATATTGGAAAATAGAACAATTCTATCAATTAAGTAAATTTTACAAGAAATTATCAATGATAGGGATAGTTTTGAGTAAAGGTGGACATATTTAGCGGAGGGGATAAGTAGTTCGATTAATAGTGGTAATAATGACGATGGCATAAAAGCATTAAGAAATTCATATATCAAGTAAATAATGTTTCTAAATGAGATTATATGTGGCTCAGTTTAAAAAACACAGGGAAATGAAAGAAATTTAAGCTTATAATAAATAATGAGGAAGCCAGAAAGGGCAATGTTTTTTTTTTTCTTGAAATTATTAACTAAAATAGTGGTGGCCGTGCGACAATAAAATAAATTTACCATTTTGTTTGATGCGACGAAATATTATGAACAATGGGAGTAGAAGTAGGAGTAAAAAACGTAAAGATTAGAAAAAGAGTATCTAAGAAAAATTAGTTACAATAAATAGTGACCATAGGTCGAATCATACAGTCGCTATTGTATTTACAATACAATCTATGGTATATTGTACACCCTAGATTGTATTTTACCGATGAATTAAACGGACAAATATGAATTTAATAACATTTTCGTTTTAATTTTCAAACTGACTTTGTACGTAAATTAATGCGTACATATAAACGAATTTTGTTCCTATACAAGGTCAATCAATGCGTATTATATATTCAAAATCTGTACCAGGAGGATATTAAAGAACATGATAATAAAAATAGAGACGCTGTCATGAGCAGTGCGATAGATAATGTTCGTTGGTTTAATATTTTTTCAGATTATTTGTTAATTTAATCTGTGAGTACCTTAGTTAATGCTAGCAAAGGCTTTAGTTAGAGGTATCACTAAATTTTCACTTAGTTAATAATAAAATGAAAAAAGCAAAAAAAAAAGAAAAAACTTAATGAATATCTTACTCGTACAATTTTTTTTTATCAATTTATTTAAAAAAAAAAAAAAAAACCAAAAAAAAAAATTACATATAACTTATACAAACGTTAATATTTTTCGTCGAAATTTATTATTCCCCAATTTCTTAATCAGGCGTTTCTTATATTTACATTTGAACCTCGAATTAAAAAAATATTACTATCACAAAGCATTAGACGCCAAAAACGAACAAAAGCAGAATAAGATGAAATGGGCTGAGAGGGAAAGAGCGCTGACAGAACAAAAATATGGGCAAGAACGCTCGAGATATTTCCTCGTTCACGCAACAATAATCTCTATAGCAGTTGTTGGAAAAATAAAGACAGTGAGGGCCGGGTCGCGCGACTGGTGAATTGGCGTGCACTCTCGTAAAGCCCCGAGCAACGCGACGATAACGGGCGCATGAGAGGGAGCTGAAGACGTGTAGAGTGTGGGTCAGACAAGGGCAGCCGTCGCGTGATAGAGCTGCATGAGCACCTGAATATGAACCGGCAGACAGGAGAGGCGGTCCTTTGTGTTAGCATCGACGGACAGCCAGGACAGTGCGTTGTAGCCTTCGAGTACGTATCTGTGGGCAAAGAGAGAGAGAGCGAAAACGAAAGCCGGGAATGTTAGTTAAAAAGAAGGGTAATAGTGTGGGATGAGATGCGGATTCAGGAAAACTCACCTGAGTACGTCAGTAGTGAACTGGGAGTCAAGGCCGTGCACGGTGACGGCGCTTTGCTGGTGTAGCAGCTCGTCACTGTTCTGCTGGATGGCTGGACTGTGGAGGTGAAGAGCATTCTTTAGAAAGACTGGACAGACACCTTCGAGGTGCGGACAAGCCGCCCAAAACCAGGAGGGCATACGGCCCGTGGGTGCGGTTGAAACAAGGTATCCGAGGGCCAAAGGCTGCTGCAACAGTGTGCCCACCTCCTCCGATTGCTCCGTTACTGCCGCCTAGGTATCGGCGAAAACCACATAACATTACTATAACATTACTTCGTTATTCGCAATATAAGCTGTATTTGTCAATGTTCTTTATATTTTACGATTGGACTTTCATTTCACGGTTGATATTCGATGTGTACCTATTGTTATTAACTCGATTATCGAGCCAAAATCGAATAAATTTATAATATTTTTATTTAAACACATTTAAACTGGCAAAACATCGATTAAGAATAGAACAAGTTGCAATGTTTAATTTTTTTCAATTTTTGTTCAAAATACTATTTAAGATCGAGACATTGAGGTTAACAGCGTAATAATGAGACTGACTCTAGGTGTGTTGCTGCATGGAAATGGACTGCCAGGCCCATCGTGATTGCCGAGGCCAGATCCTGGTCCATCGCCGCCGAGAGGGGAACCTTCCGGTCTTCGTGGACTGCCGCTGGGACTTTGGCCACCTCCTGCTCCTGGCTCTGGCCACACGTTGAATATGTCATTGAAGTCAGTCATGCCCTCCATGCCTTCGGGTAAATCTTCGTGTAGCGCGGAGAAGAGTTCGTCGTCGCCTAGCTCCGGGTCGTTTATTTGCTGCTCGTGAAAGGTTGTCTGCGACGACTATTGACCAATGTCGGAACGAATGTTAATCATTTACATGTAATAATCATATTTTCTCAGAGAGCGTCGGGTCTTAATAGTCGTTTTCGTTTTTTTTTACAATCTTATGACTTAAGTATAGTGTATTAGACGTATTTGCTAGTATCGAAATTAATATCGAATTAATAATCAACGTATTGTTATAAAATATTTCACCGTGATAATTTCCTTTTAATCTACCTTGTTAAATAAGGGGAATAACAACTATGCGATAGTATGATGCTTAAGGACAGAAAGCTAGACAAATTTAGATGAGAATTTGAAAGTCGTACCTGCGTGGTTGCCGAGGTGGGGAAGACAAGTATGTGAGTACAGGTGACGTCCTGGGGTGTCGAAAGTTGGCAATTGACAGATGCCTGACTGAATCTTTCGTCGGGTGTGAATTGGTCGGCCATGAGCCTGAGGGTACTGTCGGGTTCAAGAGAGACGAGGCACGCGCTGAGAACGCATGGCGCCGCCGTCGGGTACAGGAGGCTGCACTGACCGCAAATATCCTTCAGATGTTTCGACGCCTTCACAAGAGCCTTGCGCGATAATAGCCAGCTCCAGCCCTTGAGCTCGCCGTGGCCGATACGACCCACGCGTCCCACTACCAATCTCCACGGCTGGACCTACATGACGAATTATTTATTATTAATACGTTTTTCTTTACCTTAAACTTGAATGTCGATGAAGGAGTCGTTTAGAAATTGCTCTATAAGCTTTACACGTTTTACAAAAAGGCACGAAATGGCAATTGCGTAAGAGGACCTCCTCTTTCGCCTTCTCTCGGCAATTTTCATCGCAGAACAAGCTTGTGAATCGAATTCTTGGACATTGAAATTGCCTGCATACAAAGTCAAAGTATATCAGACTTACCCCTTGTGACATAACTCCAAGGATAAAGTCCATGAGCTTCTGGAGGCCGGCCCTCCTTGCCGAGGCGCGTTTCCGCCTCTTTCTGTTCGGTATATCGATGTTGATGGTAGTGGTTTCAAAGATCTCACCCCGATCGTCGGTTGCGACAGCCAACAGCCAGGATTGATCCTCGCTGAGACAATAGCTCAAGTAGAGAACTGCGCACTCCTCGGGACCGCTTGTGCCGAACGAGTCGGGCGCCTCACTCTTGCAGCGCAGAGGTGCCAGTACGTATGCTGGCGCGTACAACCGTAAAGATGATTTGTTGCGTTCCTGATGTACAGGTGCAAGAATGTTACTATGGGACTGCAAAAGTACCAGCGAAACCGTATTATTCATTTCTCCGTGAAACAAGCAGCTTGCCTCGATCGTTCCGAATGAATGAGGATTAATGAGCGTGGCTTGTCCTACTCCATAATTTGGGTTATGGATAATGTACATAATATCTGATATTTCTTATACGGTCAAATCCATATTAAGCTTTGACCCGGTTCCCTTTGTAAAAAGTGTGGAGATAACGTAACGTGCTATGCTATGGGTCTTCTTTATTTGACTAACCGAGTCTTGCGGCAGGAAAACTTTAGGCTGATAAATACGTTTTCAATCAATATCGCTATTTTATTTTACAATTTGTGCAACGTGCTTAAAATTTGACTATCTAATTGTGAAAATGCAAGAACATTATGAGCAGACACTGACATTTTCAGATGGATTTAGATCGAAAATTTTCTGACACGAGAGAGTGAAATTTAATGATTACAATTTACTTGTGAAACTTGTCGCCTTCAAATTTTGAACTGTGACACTCCCGCTTTAACATTGTCAACAAACTCGCACAGTACTTTTAGTGCTTTTATTCCTTATATAATAAGATTGTTTCAATTTGTGCCTTAATTAGTTGTTAAAAAAATTCATGGCGACAAGTTTAAATGTAGTGGAGTATGATAATCTTACATCTTTATTCTTAAGAAAGAGGTCGGCGGCTGCAGCGGTTCCAAACCCAGTTAAACTCCTGACAGTCGTGTTGTGCGAGAGAAGCCTCCGACCTTGCAAAAACACGTTCAAAGCCAAAGCTCTCATCTCATCTTGGATCTTCCGCCTTTCGCGGACTCGTCCAAGCTCCATTATAGTTTCCAACGATATTAGCTATCAAAGCAAAATTAACAATTACAATATGGATAATTAATTTAAAGCTCATTTAAGCATGGTTATGCAATAACATTGGCAAATACTTCATGCAGATTCTTTAGTGTAACATTTATCAATTACATACTGAAATGAAATTTTACACAATATTTACATTGCTTGCCGAGCGATATATCTCGGAGACAATATTTTGATCTTTTTTAATCTTTATTTTTAATAAGATGCTAGTAAGATACTTGAAGTAAAAAATAGTAAAAGCTAGCTTTGGCTATACTTTTTCGAGGTGTTATCGAACGTCAAGTGATCTGAATTAACAGGTAAGATTATTATCAGAACTCACCTGCACATTGATGTTTGCCCTGATCGCCTCGGGCATGCCATTGACGGCCGCGGAAAAGGCACGCAGCAACGCTAGTATGGCAAGTCGGCGCCGATCCGGGCAGTCAGCACCTCCTAGAGAGAAGGGTTCAACAAGGTAAACGACAACAGACGGTAATTCGAGTTCCTCCTCGTCGGGCCCGAGAGCCGCCACTTGGGACTGCTGTTGAACGTTGACCGATATAGTTGTCTGAGTATTGGCCGAAGTCTGTGTCGTCGGGGTTGTCCTCCCCGCTGTCGAATTCGCATTAGGCGTCTCGCTGCGTGCGTTCTCGCCTTCTGCCCCACAAACCAATACAGTATTACGAACATTACGTTTATCACCAATATCACGCAATTATTATCACAATTAATGATCCAAGTTCTACTTTATTGTAGCGTGATTGTTAATGTTGTAGAGACATTAATAATAAATATAGTTTGCACTTACCGACGGACTCAGGTTTATTGGGCATGCCGTCCGGAGTGGCAGGCATCGACTCAGAAACGTTACCGCACGACTGGTTCTGCTTGCCACCGACGCTGACGACTTCGGTATTGTCGAAGAGGCTCCGGTCTTGGATCACCTGGGTAAGGTAGGGAGCTAGTCTGTAATTGCACGCCTGCGCGTACAGTCTGAGGCACTCTCCAGTTTGGTTATCTCCGAGGAGCTTAAACCATTCATCGATGGGTTGTTGATGTTGTTGTTGTTGCTGCTGCTTGCTATTTATTGTGCTGGCGACCTTTTGTACGGTGGACTTGCCTACACGGAGGATGCCATCACGCACAGTCTTGGCAATGGGGGTGTGCTTCCCGAGTCGACAGATCTACAAATAAAAAAGATAATGTAGAGAGAGAGAGAGAGAGAGAGAGAGAGAGAGAGAGAGAGAAGCAGAGATAAATAAATAAATTAACGAAACGAGTGTACTTGGCCGTTCTAAAACTGAAAGCGATAATAGAGCCATTTTTCAAAAGTATACATCAATGTTTGCAGTAATTTGTTTAAATAATGTTGAATACTCCATTTCATTGCATTACTACAAAGTTCAGATTTACATACAAGTTTTTAAATCACTTATAAATACAGCACAGAACTTCTACTAATATAAATATATAGTCATTCGATATTATTTACTTATTATATCATATTATTAAAATAATTTAATTAAATTATATTATATTAAAATAAGCATTGCACCAAGACTTCGAAAAATAACGATTCACGAAATGCTCTAAGTTCAATTTTAACTAAACAAATATTTAATTACTAATGCAAAGATATTACTAATAATAGTAAGTATGATGTTTTATACTTAAAAATGGCTACTGGTATATTATAATTAAATTCTCCTAAAAATGAGAACAAATCAATTGTACTCTCTTAACAAAAGTGATAAAAATAAACTCAAAATCATCAATCTTTTATATTAATTCAGTGAATATATATTATTTTAAAATGCACATTATTTATATTATTAATTTCTCAGTGATAACATAATTTTTCATTTAGATATATTTTGAATCAAACATATTTGACAGTTTTCTGTTTATATTTGGATATTTTAATGTATTCTGTCTTCTTCATTGACTCTATTAAACGGAAAAATATACGTTACATTTAATTATTTTTATTTTTAAAATAAGAATTTCATGCTAATTAATTGTAATTAATTTTATGAGTCTTTCTTGTTAACATTGATCGATAATAAAAAAAATTTTTTTTTAATTAATATCTAAATTTAAAAACAATTAACGGTAAAAATGTGTAGACATTTATTATACATTTTCTCTCATAAATGAGAAAACATTGACATTTCTAGTTGGATTGCAATAAATGCTGTATCGATAAATGTAGTTCAACTTTTCATTTACAAAAAACGAAAAAGCGTTTTTATAACAAAATCCAAGGACTAATAAATTATTTATATTATTGAAATGAATAAAAATATTAAATTATTTAAAATTTTTATTCTTTATAATTCAATTTATGCTATATAAAATAAATATATAATACAAAGTATAATAAATTTTAAAAAATACAAGACAATATGGACGCTCGAAAAATTTACGGAGTTTTTATTAAATTGATGCTAATATAGACGAAAAACAGCTTACCTCGTAGGTAGTAGACAACTCTCTAAAGAAAGACTTGACCTTGCCGACAAGACAGTCGTTGTCGGGCGCTAGGACAACATAGGCAACGTCCCTCGGTCCGGCGTAAGGCTCAAGCAGCAGCTTCTCCCAATAGCTGAGAGCATACGGTGAGAGAGAGAGCCAATCACGGTCGTAACCGACGACGAGAGCTGGAACAGGTTGGGGCTCGCATCGATCCTTAGTGTCTCGTCCGGCGAGCCTGTGAAAACCTCGCCAGGTCAGAATCCTCACTGTGTAGGGCGCATCCCACATCCTTGTTGCCTTCTGTTGGATGGCCTCCTGTAATAGAGGCTGCACGCTCTTCATAATGCGTACGATATCGCCGTTGCACTGGGGACCCTTGGCTCGGAGGAACACCCAACGATGCACACCATTCAGTCGCTGACTCCGATCCACAGGAGGTCCTGTGATAAATGTTCGCCTTGATTGAATTTTGGTTCGCTTAATAGCTGTGAGGATTTACGGAATTCGTCGGGTAACCGATACTATTTCAAATCCAATCAAAACACAGTCTTCAAATACGTATGATTAATACGATATTTCATCTTTGTAAACGATTTATGGAAATATATATTGGGCACAGTGTTTTAGCATAAATACAAAATAAATTATGCTTAATTTTCACTTCGCAAAAGCTATATTATTCAGCTCCTTAATGAAACAATTGCACATAAGGCGCTATAAAGCGAGTCTATAAGCTTTATCATTTTCTTTTAAAATTCTGTAGTGTATATATATACTTAGTTACAAATTCAAATTAAATTACATTAACTTTAAAAACAAGTTGGATTAATGTTTCTCGATATAAAATTTAATGTTAGCAAGCTTTACGAACCGTCGAACTTGCCCTGATCAATAGCAGCCAGAGATAATTCATTGCCATCGTTGAACTCCAAGGCGTTTACGCTCAGCGAGCTTGATTTCATTCGGTTGGCTGCGTAGAGGCGCGCTGCGCGGTATAGGCTACTTGCGGAACTTTGGACGATAAGGCATTGCTCTCGAAGAAGTTCAAGGACTGAGGGTGGTACGAGGTCGATACCCTCGGGAATGCTCTTTGAATCGCAACAGGCAATTGCCGCAAGTGAGGCTTTCTTTTTATCAGCCGGATCCTCGGCGATCCCTGTTATTTCCATCTCGTCTTCGTAAAAAAGACCGGCTTTGTGAGCGAGACGCCGATTTACGACTGCGCTGAAACCGCAGCTACATCTTATCTGATCCTCATCCTGTATAAACAATACAAAATTAAAGTTTTGTCGTTCAATCTATATGTAAAAGCTCGTTTCCGTAATTGATTTCGAATAATTTAACGTTACTGTTCCGGAATTTTTAGATTAATTATAATTCATCTTATAATCCTATGCCCTGCTAATTAAATTTGTAATATTAAATTATTTACCTCGGCTATTCTCATACACAAACTGAAATTACTAGATCATAATTTAATAAATGACAACAGTGATAAATATATATTTATGCTTAAATGTATTAGAATTTGTTATTTATTACAATAAATTTATCATAAAAATTATAGTATCTTAAGTATATTTTAATTTTATTTAGGTATTTTCAATTCTTGCAGAAAGATAAGTATAATAAGTCTGATAATCATTTCAGTATTAACTGCTTTAGTATAAATTTTCTATTTAGAAAATATGTTTTGAAGTTAGTTAAAGGAATGAATATTGGAGATAAATATTCTTATATTATTCAATGTAAGAAATTAAGTATTCACCTGGAAGACATTGTTGTTTGCAGTCCAGGAGCCAGTTAAGTATGTGGTCGCATCGGCGCCCTTAATATTGCCTACAACTTTCGGTCCAGCATTACATACGCAAAGACTACAACTGTCAAAGTTATGATCGCGGAAAATATTAAGCGCGGTATCTCCTAGTAGTATATTGACAACGAGGGAGTTCGACTCGGGAGCGCGTATAGGACCAGGCGTATCAGCTTCGATGCTGTTGAGATTTTTGTTGAGATAAGATGATGTTGTAGAAGTCGCAGGTGATGGCTGATCGTAGGGTGGAGGAGGTGGCCGCACCCCGACGATTCCTGGTATCTGGGATGATCGATACGCAGTGCCTAATTGTGCAGGACTCGCTGGGTGGTGGTGGTGGTGTTGCTGCTGCTGCTGTTGTTGTTGAAGCGCTTGTTGTTGTTGTTGTTGTTGTTGTTGTTGTTGTTGTTGTTGCTGTTGTTGGTGTGGCTGCACTGAACCAGATCGAGCTGACTGTGAAGACTTTTCTTGATTGCTATAAATTAAAAGATTTTTATATGAAAAAGTATTACAGAATATTATTATATATGTATTAATTATAAACTAACGATGCATTTTATATAATATCGAAGTCTTTATGTCTGTTTATAACTTCATATTTCATAAAATATGATAGACCAAAAATTATCACTAAAATAAAATATTGCTAGGAATATCCATAATTTTCTTAAGGTTTTAAAGAAATTCGTTATATACATAAATCTCTTACACTTTTAAGATTATATATTTATTTGTATCACTTTAAGTAATTGTTTAATTTTATTGAGTAAAATTATTGATACTTTGAAGAATTAATTGTTGTTTGGTGAAACGTCGTAATTTTCAAAAATTAATATGACAACGATATTAGTTTAATTATAGGCTGAATAGAATTGTTGGTTTTGAGCTTTTTAAAATATTTATTTTTTTTTTTAAAGCAATATTCTCTATTAAATAAATTTCATATCAAATGTAAAATAAATGCTGCCGCGTCCCACCTCTGATTAGTGTTAGTGTTGCTACACTGCCAAGAAGTCCTGTAAACACAGTGAGTCGGAAGTGTCACGGGTGGTAAGCTCTGGCTTGGCAGATTCGTGAGAGGCGCGTATTTGGACGAGCCGACAAGTTTGCACATGGCTGGTGGCTTAAATACATAGGACCAGTCGTCAACGACCTCCTCAGGGGGTGAACCCATATTTGGATAAATGTCTGGCAATTGGCGCTGGAGCTGGCGTTGAACGAGCTGGGTGCTGACACCGAGGTCTGTCTGCTCAAGGCTGGGCTCGCTTAGTTGACAGGGTGAAGCCACGGGATTGTGTTCGAGAGAAGGCGGTGTTGGGAACATCTTAGACAGCTCTTCGGGTCGTAATACACCGACGCCCCGGCCACAGCCGGACGAAGACGATGACGAGGAGCAACCGTGCTTACTACTTGAGTTGGAGGTGCCGGAAGCCCCAGAACCCGAGATTCCGGAGCTCAAATTCATGCCATCAAGCCGCGCATCTACCCCGTCATGACCGCCTCCACCACCAGACTTATTTGAACCTGGAGGCGTTTGCACTTGAAGCTGATTCAAATTCTGAAATTGATAGACCTCTATTATTTAAAATCTAATCTTAATGCCTTTTATTAATTTTCCACGTCTCATAAATAATATAAATAGCATTAGCCAAACAACATTAACTTAATAATAACTTACGGTTTCGTCGCTGGAAGTATCCGGATCGGAATTGTCAAAAATTTGATCTAAATCTTTGTACGATGCTTGAAGTCCTTCACTAGTAAATAGAGAGCTTGGCTTAGATTCGTCTCTTTGCCTCTTTAATCCATCCACTCCAGTGACATTTTCTTCCCCTGCCGCGTCAAATTCGTAGGGATCTGGCCTTACTCCTGTGCATTCTCCCTAAATGATAATATTCCACATGTTCATTGACCTTTATAATAATGATGTTAAAATAAGAATTCGTTATTTATTCAGTCTTAGTTTAAGTTCGGCGAAGTATTAAATATATGATATCGAATCCGTTATGTTTGCAATTTTATATAGAAAATCACTCGCAAATAAGATTTTAATTTTTATATTAATTTATAAAGAAGTGCGAGTGATGACATTCAAATAAATAATTATATAATAAATAAACAACAATAATACGCGATAAATTCGCGTGGATAGTTACAAAGAAGTTTTTCTCTCTTTTTTTTTCTATACATAATCATTAACCAAATTTTTTAAATAGACATAAGTAAAATGTATTTCACTTTCGAATTCTTGAACTAAATTCAAATTGATAACAGTCCTTCAAAAACCATTAAAAGGTTAATGTATAACTGTTAAATTTCATTAATATTATTGTGATAAGTATTCGTTAAATAGGACAAAAAGAAAAATATCCCATTTAATTTCAATATATTGTTTTTTTTTCCTTGGCACAAATCTGTTAATATTTAGTTTTTACCAAAATCTATTGTCTACTACTTGCAAACGTAATTTGCATTTATGAAAGTCACGTATCACAATGTTGGAAAATCCATTTTTCAAAATGTTATAATTCAACATTTAATTATTGTAAATTACTGACTTAATATACAAAATTCAATCATATATATTTAAAAATAAAAATAAAAAATGTATTTAAAAAAAAAATAAAATCTAGTTTGTTGACGACATAGAAAAGAGAAATTCTGTTTGCGTATGCATAAATGCACGAGCTATAAAATTCATACTCATAAAATTTGATTTTTCAACATTAACTGCACCATATATTTTAAGATGCCCAGTCTGACACTTTAATCGTTTTAAAATAAATAATCAATTTCTTACAGATCTGAAATTGTTTACTATTCGCCGAAAGCAATAATGAGTGAGAAAGCGTTCGTAGTTTGGTTTTTGTTTTATTTAACCATCTCTCTTATATTTACGTAAGAAACAATGACAAAGCTTGAAATATTAAAGTTATATTCTCTTTCTGGTTCGTGATAGTTACAATTAATTAAATATAAAGATAATTGTATTATACTTAAAATAAATCATTAATCATAACAACACTTGTATAAGTTTTTATCCCCAAACATCGTTTGTATTGAAATGTCGATGAACTTCAACTTCTTCATCATTCGTAGATTACGTATACACGATCGCGCCATAAAACTGGATTAAACTCATATTTCGTTCCGTAAGCAAGATTTTTATATTGTTCAAATCAAGTGAATAGATTTTATTTTAACAGTAAAAATTACGGAGTTAGAAGACTGCATCGAGAAACACTTTTTTATTTATGCTAAACGCTTCTTTCAACCGTCGCGGATAAACTTTTGCTTAAGTGGCAACTATTAAATATCAACCAGACTATCGACAAGTGAGTAAACACATGGTGCAAAATTATGCATTAATATTAAATCGCCTTTATGAGGGTAAATAATGCATCGACAGTGTTTGGCAATGAAAGACATTTTGTGGACAAAGCCCAGCGTTGATTAATACAAATCACCAAGTGTACTCTCTTAGGTTATAATTGTGGCACTTACGGGGGTCGTGCCGGGTTCCTGCTTGATCTCGATCTTTGTTTGCTGTCCGTGGATCTGGATAGTCTGAGGCACCGAACCGGAGTTAGTGCTGGGCTCGAGTGTCCCGGTACCGCAACCCATCGGCGGGTAGAGGCTGCCGTTCCGTATGCCAACAGGGACGTACGAGGGCGCTGTCTTGAGTCGCTTCACCGGGTGATTAAGCCAGGCCTCCTGCGTAGAATAGTCGTAGAGCCAAGGCAAGGATTGCTCCTCCTCAAGAAGGGCTCCCTCGTACTCCTTGGAGATGAGGATGGGCCGCTTAAGCGCCTGGATCGTCTGGATGGGTTGGGAAACATGACCGGCACCCAAGAGTCCTCCGGGACTCGAGGCTTGAGCGTTGCCACAGCTTCCCGAGGACATGGACTTAGGACCCTGTGGAGGTGACGTGAGAAGTAGTTAGTACTCTGCGAGAGGCCGATGAGCGCGATTCAAGGCAGCGAGTGACTCGCTTGGGTCTCGAAAAGATGACCCGGTGTCTTAAATCACTATCGATGCGAGCTGTTGATCAAGAAATATTTTTTCAAGCACACTTGTCTCTCTGGAGTGAAATTGAATCGTATCAAAGTTCTCCTTCTTTGTCCGAAAACCTGTTAAGCGAAGCCGCGATATGTGACACTTTAGTTCAAACCCCATCTTTTGTCACAATACTACTAACTGCAATACCAAGAAAGACGTGGCTCTTGCACCACTACCCAGTCGAATATTCTGAACTATATTTTACAGTAGAAAGTAAATATAGTTTACGAGATGAGCGATATTCTTCAATCATGACCACACTTGATTTATGACTTCGGGTACACTATAGCAATTTAATTATTTGCGATTAGTTATTTATTTCAAGAATGCTAAATGTTTACGAAAATTTATAATATGATAATCAGTCGTTTCAATACTAAATCTAAAGTGCGTTCATCAATTGGTGTTTGAATTAAAACTATCTTTCAGTTTACTAATGTTTATTTACATTACAAACATATGCCCATAATGAAGAATTTAAAAGATTTGGTTTTCAAAAATCAATTATTTTAAGATGAGTATAGTGATAAAAGCGTTATTATTTGGTATTGATAAACACATGTATTAGTGTATTATATAGCCGGTGTTTATTTTCTTACATTTTCGTTCGTTTTGCAATTTTATTATGCTCGTCATCTGCAAAAAGTCCATAATTTTGAATAATGCGAGTTGGTGATATTCAATAAAACACTTTCATATCATAATTAAGCAGCTATAATAAAACAGACTGCTATTAACGAGCACATCATCCTGACATTATTGCGACGAATTTAAAAAAAACGCTAAACGTCTACTGCAGGCAATTATCATGTGATTTTATATGAGAATGGAATAAGACTAAGAATAAAAAGTGAAAGTGTTTCTTAAATTAAGATATACCAGGCTAATAATGCGCGACAGTATCTGCTAAAAATAGTTATTAAAGATATTGAATAGTCAATAAATATTAGCAATTAATTTCTCAGAAGATAGCTCGAAAATAAATTAAATGCACATATTTCTTTAAAAATACAAATAATTTATGCTAAATTATATTAACTACATCAATGCACTCAATGAATTAATCGGAATTACGCCGATATTTTTTCCATAAAACAATCCGATCAAGAACAAGTCTACACTTATGATTAAAATCCTTTTTTTTACAACCAGCTACTTAGAAAAATCAAAGAAGATTCTGATAACAACGATTTTTATTTCCATAAATTAGTAAATTTGTGTAAAAAAGCTAGTTGTATCATCGTTACAGATCTGTATGATATATAATCTGTTAAGAGTTAAGAATGAATCACATTTTACAGTGATTCCAAGTTCCTAAGTACTTGCTGATAAGTCGTGTTAGTTTATTGTGAATCCCTGTTAATGTAAAGTCGAAGAACGAATGAGCAGCAAAATATGAGAAACTCACCTGAGAAGGTGTGAGGGGTGGTTGAGCAGCGCTGCTCGCTGGTTGGCTCGTCGACTGTTGAGTTTGAGGACTAAGGCCCGTGGCCGATTGTTGGACGTCCTGAGGCGGTATGCTGGTAGGTGGCTCGGAGTGCGGGGTTGGCAGAGGCGAAGGGGCCGGCGAGGCGGGCGAGCCGACCGAGGGAACCGGCATGCAGTCACCACCGGTTGGCGGACCCCGTGGATACGAGGGCGGCCCACCCTCCGAGGGCGTCTTCGGGGCGTTCGGCCGATTCACCGACACCCTAGTGAAAATATTTTTGTTTAACGTATGCCGAAGCTCATTCTCTTACTAAAAGTGCCAACCCGAGTGATTACTAACGCGAGCGATCGTATGCCTATTAGATTTATATTTATATTTATTATCCTATTGAATTTTTAATTTACTCGCTGACTATATTTTTATGAACGTCTCGTTAAAGCTGGAGTTTTAGCCATTTCAGTCAATGTGGTAGGAATGCTTTAGTATTATAGAGACATGATAATCGATTGAGGAGAACTTGATAAGAAAACACAAACTTTTCTGTGTTTTACTTCAACGACGGATACGAAAATGCTAAAACTGCATTCTACAGATACTTCTTAAGGAAGAATGAAGAAGCGGCTATTAAATAAAGAAATTGAATAATTAAAAATTTTGCACTATATTCCTTTGCAGTAGAATTGCTTCGTAATGGCTATATTTTATTCAATTCTCTTTGCACCGAGTGAAAATTTTAGTTTAATCTTTCACGATTTGATTAAAATTTCACAAGCAATTGTGCTTTACCTCCTGCATAATTAAAGTTTTTTCATGTCGTTACAAAAAAGATAAATAGTTGGAGCTTTTATCTGTATACATTAATTATTTTAGTAAGAGAAGAAAGTTGATCGTTTAAGAAATTGATGACGATGAGAGTGTATTGACAAAGGCTTGTCAATCGGTTGGACTTCAAATGAAGCGAAAAAAAATAATTATTAGATTTTAAAATTAGAGTTTAAAATAAATTTCAAAATAAAATCATATTATCGTTTCAGTTAAGAGTTAATATTTGCTTATTGTGCAAAGTTTAAATCGAGGCTCCACTTTCAGTAAGATACCTTTTCATTGCTTGTGAAAATCTGCTATTAAAAGATGATAATATTTTCCATTTACACGCACACGCACGCACGCGCGCACGCGCGCGCACACACACACCTACACACCTACTACTACTACATATTCGGTGTAATACTATTTGACTTCTCTGAAGAAACTCGCGATTTTTACAATGCCGTTTTATAATTTTCTATTCCTGTCGCTTACTGTAATCATTTACATACGCAATCACTCGAGTTTGGCCTTAATCCTAGTATGAAAGTGCACGGATAAGCTGATCCAAGTTTACTTTATGATTAGCTATAGTATATTATAGTTTGCAAGCAATGTATGATTGTTAATTTCCCTTTATAATTGATAAGTTTGTCGGGACAGTGTAAAATTTAAGTCCGATTACAGGTTTCGTTTTTGTAGACTTAAATAATATAATTTTCCTTCCTTTATTTCTACTTTTTTTAAAATTAGTAATAAGCTTATTAGAATAATGTTATTAATCCGATTATATGGTACTTCGATCAATTTTAATGAAGAAATATACTTTTAGTACTTTTTTATCTTTGGCATCAAAGATTTGAATGTTTTTATAATATGAAATTTAAGAAGTTGATATTTTGTTAATTATATTACTCATTTATAATGATATCAAATAATAAATTAATGTTATTCTCTACCGAAACTTTACTCTTAGCATTATAAAAATATATAACAATGTATTCAAATATTTTACGAATTTTGTCTGTTATGGAACTTAAATTTTACAATGTAGTATTGTATCAATGAAGCGCAAATTCATGCGAAAATCAGTTAAGTACATCCTAAGTAAAAACAAAATTAATGCTACTACTGTAATTGTCACTTAAACGTCATATTTTCATGATTGTAATATATATACAAGGACGATTAAAAAAAACCAAATAGATAAGATAAACACCTTTAAAGCACCAAAAGAAAACGAACTCATGCAATACCTAATACAAAATAATGAATATCAACCTCGATTATGTACACTTCATTTTTTTATCAATGAATAAAATACATCAAGAAATTAAATGACCCATATAAGTGTTAAGTAAAATCACACGTGAAAATTTATTAGCGTCGACTGATCCCGTAAACTTTGTATATGGTTAGACATGGTGGTATTTTGCCAGTGCTGATAATTTACATATGTATGTACACATTTATACACTTATAATGGCGTTTATGATATAATTCGTGTGTACAGCGCTGAGGGTAAGCAATGGAATGATAAAGGGATTTTCTTCTTTCTCAAGCAGGATGCCTACGTAACAGAAAATTCCTCATCACTAATAAAACATTCGACGTAATCAAACAGTATAAAAATATAGAGAAGGCAAAAATATGTAATGCTTAACTCAATGAAACTTTTAATTCATAGCAAATAATTGAACAAACGTCAGTGCCTATTTCCATTGATTTGATTAGGTTTAGAATTATTACATACAAGTTATTGATCATAATATAAATTACATCAATTTTTCCACTAGTATGAGAAATTTTGTATACGATGTGCTCGCTTCTTTTTAAAAATATTTCAAATTTGCGTTATTAATGAGCTGCCACTGTTAAAATCTGTTAGCAAGACGTGATGAAAGATCGAAGCACAGTAAAAAGCGATTTCGTGAAGAATAACTTCTGATAAAACAATGCTAATTCGTAAAACCGTTAATTGAAAATTTATTATTATAAAAAATTAGCTCCACCATACGATTTCATTTAAAAAATTAATTTTTCTTTAATTCATTATAATATCATACAAAATATTAAATTGTCAGATATTTTCAAATCACAATTGAAAAATAAATTACTCATTAAATCCAGCGATTTTGTTAATTTCTCAGTACGGGAAAATAAATAGTAAAAAAATCCAGATGATTATCGAACTTCTGTCAATATTCAGATTTTAAATTTCGCAGACGTTTAAATTAATAAATAATATTAAAAAATTAAAATAAATAAACAGCGTATTTGAACGGAGTAGAGCAAGCATTGTTTGATTTTGACGAATCCTCATGAAATTCGTAAATGCATGACAATGAGGAAAGCGCGGGATAAAAAATGACTGTTGACTGGATCTGTGGGTCAGGTTCCTCAAGTGAAACTTAGATGAGGATGAGCGGCGTGCGAATCGGAGGGTATTTACGGGCACGACGGTGGCGCCGTAATAGCAGCACTACCCACCTTGGGGCGCTATTCGGGGGGACAGAAGAGGAACAGGCTGAGGAAGAGTTAGAAGTGGAAACAGCAGCAGCAGCAGCAGCAGCAGCAGCGGTGGCGGCGGCAGCGGCGGCGGCGGTGGCGGTGGCGGTGGCGGTGGCGGTCGTAGTGGTAGCGATGGCGGTAGCGGTGATGGTGGCGGCGGCGGAAACGATCGTAGTGGCAGTGACAGCGGCGATGGCGGCTGCATCCCAATGTAGTGTTGGACGCCGGTGAAAGGGAACGAGAGGCAGCCTTCGGTGGCCCCCGGCTCGCTCCGATTTGTCTCGATGACCCGGGCCTGGGGCGCCCGCGCCCACCGAGTAAGAGCTACTGCTGGCATTGCTGCTGCTGTTCCCGCCGCCGCTGCTGCTGGTCGTCGCGTTGCCGCCGCCGCCGCCACCGCCCTTCCAGCCACCGAGGGCCGTGCACCTGTAACCGATCTGCTTAACCTCCTCGAACTTTCGCTTCCTTCCTCGAGCCCTTTAAAATTTATCGTTCCTGCATGTTTCTGCCTCTCTGGATCTCTCTGCGTGTCTTGTGTGTGCGTGTCGTACTTGGTGCGCTTAACCCTTTCGTGCGCCACGATTAATGGCTCTTGAGAGCGATATAAGTAGCGTTAATAGATATTAAATACTCATATTTTGTAGATACTTTACTGAAATATCGTGGGATACGAAAGGCTTAAGAGGACGGAGGTCTGTGTTAGATTGTAAGGAATATTCTTCTTACACGCTTCTCACTTGTAAGTCTCTTTGATTTAGCGACATTATTTATCGACAAGTACGATATATGCAAGACATGCAAATTGGAAGCGCGTAATGAGAAGTTAAAATAAGGACCTCCGACACCATTTCAATCATCTACGAAAGTCAAACTTTTGTCGTTACATACTTACATAAGAATATAAAACAATGTTGATGCTTTAAAAACTCTAAATAATAGATTTAAATTACATAATTGATCGTACAATAGATTTTTGTCATTACATTTATCGAGTGTAGAAGAGACGATAAGTACGTATTGACATTAAAAGCAAAATTTTTTAACCATTGATTGGTAGCAGATAAATCATGATGCATACTGTTTTCTGTTACTCAGAAATTTCAAACGCATTTTCTGAAAATATCTCTTTATAACTTCTTGATATTAAAATTTCTACACGAAAGCTCAAATCGGTCTAATACAATTTCATATAAAACATGCGTAATTGTCTCCTATTAATATTTACCGCTTCTCCAGAAAAAATTCATAAATCATAAATATTTAGAGATAAAACATAGAAAATTTATTAATAACCAAAAACAACTATTTTCTTGTCATAATGCTACATAATTTCTCTTGTTTCTCATTTTTAACTATCACTATGCAGATATACATCAAGAAAAAGTAATGAAAACAAAAATTTCTTTCTCGATTTTTAAATTCATTAAAATACACATAACACATAACGGGACTAATTTTCTTTATATATATGATTAACTATAAAATATTTAAATCGTGAACATTGATTCGTTTGAAATACAAATATGTAATCAATACATTTTTATATATCATACTACATTTTAATATTGTACGACCTAACGAATAAAAACTTTAGTGTGTAATATATTACAATGACATAATTAAATAAATATTATTTAAAACAACATATTTAATATTAGGTATGTGCGTAAAATGTAACGATAAATGTCGATCTTTCAGATTCTTCTAATTCTTTGAAGCACGTACTTTTATTTTGTAATTTACAAGTTGTAGAAATTATGGCAATGTATCTAAAAATTTCTTTACATTCATCTATAAGAAAAATTTAAAAATTCTAATTTATATAAATAAATTAAGGGAGACGAGAACAAATATTACAGTTAAATACTAATGAGAGATGCTAGTATAATACTAGGGGGATACTATGCTTCAAAGACTTAATTTTTTATAATTTTATAAAAATCTGTTTTTTACTGTCAATTTTTTTCAATCTTATATTTATAATATTTAACTTTCATTACATGTAGTTACACTCCCTCACTCATTCACTTTCATACACACGCGTGCGCGCATAAACACACACACTGTACAAGAATACAGATTAAATTTATTGTACAAATCTGGTTTTATAATAGCCTCATTTTGTATTAAATATATTACAAAGTATTTGATTCAATTTTTTTAATTTTTTTAATTTTTATAATACAACATGTAGGTCTTAAAATAGAAAAAATTGATCAATAATTATTATGTAGTTTAAGTAAATCTGTATTCTTATTTAAAAAATGCAAGAATTATTAAGATATAAATTTAAATTTCATAAGTATATTCTTTCTTTAATTTAATTCATTGTTAATAATGACACATTTAATAATTACATATAATATAATTTTAATTTAATAATACTTAAATTTCATTAACCTTCTAATACCGAGTTCTTAATTATGAATGTAGTACTTCAAGTCAAGTTCTTAGTTTATAAAACCATTACATTCGTTGCCATAAGATATATGTTCACACTGTCAACGGTAAAATATAAGCACAAGTATATGCGAGATAGTTGTACAGCTGAATAAATTTCTCCCCTACAATATATATTTATACTGTACATAATACGACGCTTTGTTTATTACATAATCGACTGTACTAAACAAGTTTGTAATACACATGCAAACACGCATCGATACATAACACACAGGCATTTGTCAATTGATACTATATATGTATATACTATATGTTTATATGTATATTTTTAAGCTCGACTTTTTTTTAAGTAATATAATATACGAGAGAAAAAAAACAAAAGAAATTTATGTATTTATTTTTCGTCCTTGCATTCAGCGAAATATTGCTTAAATATAAGATAATAGTTATAATAACAGGGCACTTGCAAATACAATCTAAATTTCTACATTTGGAACCAATGTATTTGTCATGAGTATGATAAAAAAAATATACTAAAAGAAAAAAGAAATACAAAAAATAATAAAACAAGAGCTAATATATGGTCTGACGTATTTAACATGCCATTAGCAGTTTTCTCTAAGCGTCTTGTTCAAAAGAGAGCCACCTTTTTTTTTTTTTTAATAACATATCGTACATAGAGTTTCATAAAGTAAAGCTTGTACGAGTCGTTTTAATATTGGCCTTATGACTGACAATAAAGGTATTAATAAAAATACATGATGTATATATTTGCAAAAAGGAAGAAAAAAATGAAATAAAGGAAATTCATTGTAAATCAAGCAAAGCTGGTATCTTTTATTATTGAGAGATTATTTGTTATCGAAAAAAATTATCATTATTTCTGTAGTATGATGTTTATTTCAGAAAATTAATAAAATTAAGCATCAATATTGTCAATTTATTTCGGAACATAGAATAAGGAGCACGTACTTTTACTCTTATTGATATTGCCATTACCATTCGGAAAATTTAACTTTATTAAATATATTTTCAGATTTTAGGATACATTAATGAGATATAAAATCGTATCTGCAGGTATCGACTTCCAAACTTCAATTCATGTGAGCGTAAAAAACGGTAATATTGGAAGGATAAGAATGTAATAATAAAATTTATAATAACTAAATTATTAATTAAGTGAAAAAATGTATACCAATCTTGTAAATATAAGTAAAAACAAAAGAAATTACAAGCAATTTTGAAATTTAGCTCAGCTGTCTTTTGATCATAAACGCATTAACAATTTTTCAAAGATCATATTAGAACTATCTGCTTAGTCTAAAATAATAGCAAGGCTAATGGTGACCTTGCAAAACTCGATTTCAAATTAAAATCTCTCAATCTCTTGTTAAATCTACAATATATACGTAAATAAATAAAAAGGTAAAAAATGTAAGGACGAAAACAAGGTCGACGTAACCCCTTCTAACACAGAAACGCATGTTAATATGATACAGGATAGATCCGTGGAAAGGCGTTTCTCGCACAGATCTCAACGCACCGAATGTGCGAGAAGGGGTGGATTTGCGATCGGGGTGTCGCGAGGAAATAAGAAAAAGCGCTAAAATGGGAGAAGACCAAACTTACTTGGAGCAACTGCAGGAAGACTTGATGGTCGGGTCTACGAAGTTCCAGTTTCCGAGTTCCGAAGCGTCACCACCGTTGGCCAGCCTGGGACTGGCAGACCTCGCCCTCACGACACATTCGGCCCAAACCCGCTCGGGCAGTTCGGTCGCGGGTCCCAGGTCGCGCTGCGTCGAGAGCGGGTGCTCGTAGCTCGCGGGACTTGTCGGTGGCGACAGTGGCATCGCCACCTCGACACCTACGGGACCGATGGGACCGCCGGGGCCCGCTCCGCTGCCCACGCCTGTCATCATCGTCATCATTACCGGGCTCTCGTCCATGTCCGTCACCAGAACGTAACAGGAAGGGTAGCGCATTCGCACTCCACCGACGAGGACCTCCACGAGGGCTGGCAGTCCCGGCTCGAGACCCGCGCTATTTATTGGATAGAAGTGCCGCCACTCGTCCAACAGTTGCGAGTCTAGACGACCGACTTGGCCAGTCAAGGTGCCAGCGAGGCCATATGGAGCGAGGATCACTGCAGATACGAGATGAACTTATGAGTTTGGATTTTCCCGAATCTTTATAAGCAGTCCGCGATAGATATCTGCAACTTGCCATGATCCCTTCCCCCTTACTCACCCACCACCAACGCAACAGCGCCTAAGTCGATACATTTCAGTTAGGAAGCTGATGATTAATCGCAGCTGCGATTTAGTCTTAGATGAGTATGGGGAAGATGTTGAAGTTTGATAATTAGAAAAACGGTCTGTTTGCAATGGCCGAGTTGAAAAATTTCTCGATAGATATATTGGAAAAGTGTGTCTGACCTTACGCCCTCATAATCTACTGTCTCATGCCTACGGGCAGACTGTTACTTAATGTGCCCAATCTTCGCGAAATAAAAATAAAAGTTTCTTCCTAGTTCAAGACTCTTGTGTTTTATCAATTATAATCGAGCAAGAGACGTTACTAGATACAATCAGTTCGTTAAGTCATTATTTCATCTTCTTAAAATACACTTGTAAGTTACGACTCACCTTTGACCGGTGACTGGGCGGTCTGAGTGCGCTGGAGACAGGCCCTCGTTAAGTGCCTGACTGCTGGATGTTGCCTGACGTCCACACTCGCACACACGGTGCTCTCGCCGTGGACAAAGAAGGCGAATGAGAAAGACAGGTGACTGCTACAATGTACCCAAGAGCAAATATTACGTTAAATGACTTAAAACCGTATCTAGGAGCGAGTGTGCAAGGTAATTTTTGCTGGTCCGCCTATAGTCATTAAAACTCAGACGATCATTGTCATCGCTTTTTTATTTTTAATTGAACACGCACTGAGTTAATACTTTACTTAGTTAACGATGTTGTAACGCCTATCCAGGAGATACATTTAATACAGTTTTAAAATAGGATAAACTATTATTTAAAATGCGCTGCTTAAATTCCAATGGGGACGCAATGGAAAAATAAGCTAAAAATGATGAGAGCTTTTGTACATTTTATATTGTAAATTTCAAGCATTAAATATCAGTAAATTATAGTAATAATTATAGCAACAATGATACCGATTATATTAGCTACAATAATGTACTGAGTATTATGGACATACCTTTTGTTTAAATGAAATTACTCCAACACTAAACAAAATTTACTTAAAAACTTATGTTATCGTTAACCAATGTGAGCAATTCTTAAATTCTTGTAAGTCACTAATGTAATACACAAGCTAAGTTCTTCAAGCCACTCATTTGTAACATTTGAAAAAGATACCAGCAAAGAATGTTAAGTTATTACACCCTGGACCGATAGACTGGATTCTCGAGCCTAATTATATCAGGTTGCGTACGTAAATTATAAGTGGTAAATCAAACGAATAGCATTGAACTTACCTGGAGCATCGGTGCTTCTCGAAACCATCGTAGGGCTGAACGAACCACTTCCCTAAGCGGACAAAGTCCCGGGATAGTAAGCATCGTTCAATAAGGTTGTGCAAGGCCTTGAATAACAGCGATCTGCACTCGTATGACAAACCACTCTCCCATGAGCCTTGTTCACCTTCTGTAATCGGATAAAGAAAATGTTTTGTTAATTCTTTACCTGTGTTCCAGAAATATTTGTCTACTGCACATTATTTACATGTATTATTTAAAATTAGATGGACGAGAAAAACAAAAAAGTTACACAAGTGCAGGCCAGGTAAGCTAAGAAGCTGCTACAGCCATCTTCTGGTTTTGTTCGATACATCTACAGTTTTTATTATTTTTCCTTTTAAATTCCTTTTTCTATAATGCTCCCTTTCAAGCTGCTTATTTATATATAAATCTTAAATAACAAGAGGAGATATAGAAATATTGTCGTATTGATATTGTAATTAGATTGGAGAAGAACTAATTATAAATTTTATTTCCATATTTCTTTGATATTATTTTTGAAATTTCCAATGTCAATAATACTTATTGTAAACTAATTGTTTCTTTCAATATTGAGAAGTAATATTAAAAGCACTTCATTCATTCGTCAACTCATATGCATATATTATCAGTTTAAGTTATTCAGCGCTATAATTAAAATATTTATATTTCCGGAAGAATTTTGGCATCGTAAAACAAATTCTAGTTGTTGGATCATTCATTCATTTCAGAACATAAACGTTTCTACCGAATTGTTATTAAAATATAAATAAAAACCAAAGTATAGTCGTGTAAAGCTAAAAATAAAATACGATTTCGTAATTTAAAAGAAATAGAAAGTCGTCATACCATGAAATCAGAAATTTTATTTATTGAAAAAGTGAAAATCTACTAGTATGAAAGGCAAACATTAAAGTAAAAAAATTATATTTAAATTTAGAACTAAGGAAGAAACATTTTGCGACATGTGTTATTTGATTATCATAAAGATTTGGCTTTTTCATCATAGTTCACGATGCTTTTACGGAAGTGCAAGGCAACCCTAAGTAATTATTTTTTCTCTCCTGACCCGTGCAACTGTTTTATGCATTCATCCTCTTCCGGAAGACTCTGAACTACCCACCCCTTATATATAATATATAAAATGTGTTTGCGTAGTTTTCTACATCGCACATGCGCGATATTCCCTCGTCCGTCAGTATTCTCTCTCTCTCTCTCTCTCTCTCTCGTTCAATCTTTCTTTCATGAATTTTACTTGCAATATTCTAATAATGCAAGTATTTTTCAATACTAAATAATAACAATAGCTAGATAAGTAAACGCGACGTTTCTTTAAAACTGCGATGTTTTTGTTTTCTTGGCATTGTTCAGAGAGGCTATTGTAATTGTAAATATATTTCCATCTTTCTCTAGTTTTTTATGTAAATCGTTTACGCACAATGTGCCAGCATCGACAATATAAATAATAAACCTTCAATCTATAATGAGAGCTATTATAAAATTTACTACCCGATTTTCTTTGGACGATAAATAATCGTAAGGATTACTTCCTGCTACAATTGAACGTAATTTAATAGATTTGAAAAACTGTTCCGGGAGAAATTAGATACTTTCTTAATATACGCATTAGAATGTTTAAGAGGAAGGAACCTTGATAATTTTAACGATATAATAAATGCTTCAGTTTGACTTTCTATCTACAGAATAACTTGCAAAGATTTCATGGTCAACTCATTACTCATAATATATAATTAGCTATTTTAAAAATAACCTCGAAGCACTTTGCATATTTAATGTATTTTCATAAAACATACTGTAGCACATGATATAAATAACAATTTATAGGCCAAATGCGTAATACACGTATGTCGCGATCTCTGTACTCGAAAACGTATACTTATGAAATGGATAGAATTTCTAATTAAAATTTGCGAAGTCAATTACTCGTTACATACAAAAACTCGTAAATTTTAATTAATCGCAAAAATTTCGTGCATGTCTTATGTAAAAATGCAACCATAGCTCAATATAACGAATCTTCATTGACCTTACAAAAATGAGAAATTTTTTCGGGTAAGGTAAATGTTCAATACCTACTGAAGATGTGTAAAACATTTCCGCTAATAAAAATATAATCAGTAATGGATAAGAATGATATATACACTATAGCAGAGCGCCAAAAATGACAATAAACGATCAAACTAATACAAAGATAGCACGGTGATTATACAAAGTAGACGTGAAAATAACACACGAAAGAGTCGATTTACGTTACAAAAATAGCGAGAAGCATTAAAGTAATAGTATGAGAAAGAGTG